ATATATATATATAAAATATGAATGTACTTGCATCTTTACAATTAAACATGCGGCACCATTTCTGTCTCAAACATATCATATCGATCGACAGTAACGATAGCCAATGTCGATCAAATCTGTAGGCGCCCAATCGACATTAACGATCGACAATGTCGAGTAAACCTGTAGGCACCTAAGTGATTTGATTATAGAGGCGAACTTATTGCATGCGTGCAGCGCGCGTGCAATGCGTGCAGCGCGCGTGCAACGCGTGCGCAACGCACGTGCAGTGCATTCGCGGTGCAGATCTGTACGCACACTTAGATTGTTTTAATAACGAAATTTTATGTTTATGGCAGAGAGTGAACTAATTGAACTGCATTGATCTAGGAGGATTGTAAGTGTAAAAAAGTGAATAGCTTCAGCTTAGCCATTTCATAGTTTTGTTTAGTGATCGTGTAACTTGACCTACTTGATTTCACGATAATACTTGACAACCATGCGAAATTTCGTTTAGACAATTGTTTGTTAAAATTGTTTTCGTTTGTTGTGTTTGATAGAAATAGTTATTTCTTATATTGTGAACTTTGTAATCTTCTATCATGGAACTCGTATCAGATTTGATTGGTGATTTGGGAAAATATCAAATCTGGATAAGTTTTTTAATATTATTGAATAAATTTGGAGCAGGATTCCATTTAATGGCGTTCGTTTACTTAGCTCCTCCAGTGAAATACTCGTGTCCGGGCAAAGCCGTTTGTTGCGATAATCCCATCTACAATAAAGAAAACTTCACTCGAACTATTGTTATGGAATTTAACCTGATCTGTGATAGAGCTTGGCTCAGAGACCTTTCAAATATACTTTTCCAGGTCGGGGTTATAATTGGATGCCTCGTATGTGGTATATTATCTGACAGGTAAGTGAAAGAAATTAATTGTTGAAATTCGATTAGCTGAAAGTATGTTCGTAAAGGATGAAAGACGATCGGGATCAAGTCTTTAAACCTATGTCATTCGTATAGGACCATACGCCAACCGCCTCGAGCGATGGTTGATCGGAACAAAGTGATTATTATGTCATCCATTAGTGTTCATTAGACATCAATTTGAATATAGCTTAGGGAATAAACTACCTACCTGCCGAATCATCTGTTATATTTTCATCTCTTAAAATAAAGTGAGGTATGAAACCGATAAAGCTTCGGTGTCATTAACATATTTATAATAATAAAAAAGAACGAATTATTATTATTAATATTTGTATATAATAACAAATATAGGTAATAATATAAGTTAACATACCTATATTAACATATTACATACCTATGTAGTAATCTACATACCTAATTAAATATTATATAATTAAATGTTCTTATTAATATTATACACGTATGTTCTTAGCATTTTTTATGTAAAATAGACGAATGTTTGGCCACGATCTCAAGGCCCACGATGTTATGAATTTGTGTAGCAAATGCCTTGCTCTACTGTATAACATAAATTGTAGCTTTCGGAGAACACATTGTAAATGTTGGTGACGGGAAACAAACGCGGTGTATTCCATTCATTTATCCTACACATCTGAAAAGATGAAGCAAAGCGCTTCTTGAAAATGGATGGTCTGTTAATGATAAAAGTATGGAGTATTCCGAACTTTCTAGTAGACCAAAGGAGGAACCGCGAGAGTGGAAACAAATTGTAACGTTTCTGCGCGCACTCTCCGAAATTTATTCGAGATTCTTGTGCAAATGCAATCTGTAATTCTATTTAATTTTGACCTCAGATTCGGGAGAAAACCAATTTTGATCGCCTGCGTGATAATTGAAGTGCTCACTGGACTGATGACTTCCTTCCTTCCTGATTACTGGAGTTTCACCATAATTCGAATGATCTTAGGATTTTCTATTGGGGGTATTTTAGCTATCGGATATGTCCTGATGATAGAATACATCGGATTAAATATCAGGCACGTTGCTGCCGCTCTCTTCCACGTACCTTTTACAGTTGCTCATTTATTGCTCGCTTTATTGGGATACTGGATAATCAAAGACTACGTATATTTTCAATTAGGAATATCCCTATCAACTGCAATTTTGTTACTTTACATTTGCTTTCTGCCGGAATCGCCAAGATGGCTAATAGCCGTAAATAAAACCAATGATGCCATAAAACTTTTGGAGAAAATAGCAAAAATGTAAGTCATCTTGGAGTATTTTGTGCCCTTGTACCTTGTGTGTTGATTGGTTATAGACGAATCTTGTTTGTGTATCTTTTTCAGAAATAATCGACCAGTAGATTTAGTCCGTCACAGAATAGATTTATATCTACTGACACAGAGGAATCAGACCCCAGGATCGTTTAAAAATCTATTCACTGAATCTAATTTGAGGAAGAACATATTAATAATGATATTTATGTGGTTAATTCATAGCTACAGTTTCTATGGAGTATCTCAATACATTTTTTACTTGACTGGCAACGTAAATATTAACGTGCTAGTGAGTGGCCTTGTGTGTTTGTTAGCTACTCTCCTTGCTATACCACTTCTGAAATTCTTTAAGAGAAAGATAATTATCATGGCTGCGTGTCTTATCTGCAGCCTATGTCTGCTGATAATTACATTTGTGCCCGATGGTTATGGATTGGTTGCGCTCGGATGCATTGGCCTTTTATGTGACTTTACTACGTTCGTTGTAATTTACCTGTATTGCTGTGAAATGTTCCCGACTATAGTACGGAATACAGCATTAGGCTTGTCGTTGATGATGGCCCGTATTGGTGCTGCAACAGCACCTCTAGTATTAGAGATACGGCCTCATTGTAAATGGTGTGTTTCAATTGTGTTCTGCTGCTTTCCTTTGATAGCTGCACTGATGTGTGTTTTTCTGCCAGAAACAAAAGACCACGATCTAATGACAACCATTGAAGAAGGTGAAGCTTTTGGAAAAACACCTCGACAACTCTCGTCAGATAATGCGACAACCACGTAGTTGATATTAATTAATAAAATATGAAATGTATATTATAATGTTGTTCAGAATTTCAAGTAGATTAGTAAAAAAAAAATAATGTAGATTCCTTGAAATATATAACATGTTAAAATAAAGCCTGTGATCCTAATTGTAGTAAATAATAATAATTTAACCGCATCCCTTCATATTACTTACATAAATAATGAAGGAAATTATGTATACAAAAATAAACGTACCTACTTCAACAATTACAAAAATTTGTCTAGGTTTTACTTGAATTAATATAATTAATCAATAACCATAAGTAAAATAATCGTTACCTGCAAAAGTAATAAATTCTAACTGCATATTTTAATAAGTAATAACGATGACAAATTATAATGATCAATGAAACTTATCACAATATAAGTATCTATTGATGACCGCAGTGACGAAGAGCAGGCCCTGACTGCAACGAGAGTCTCGTGAAAGCTGGAACTGAGAAAAAACTGTTGGAAGTATTTAGATCTTGTGCACGATATCACGAAATGCGAGATGTGACCTCCATTGAAATAGTTACTATTGTTTTGTTTGCAAATTAGTTAATCCCCGCCAGACACGCTATCAATTTGAGGCGGTTGCATTTCTATGGCATGTCCTTAGAAAGCGGTACTGCGGCACGTATCACTCGTAGGTTTTTGAACATCATTGAATACGCTTTATCTCGGCCGATGGCGTCATTTCCGGGAATGCCGCCTCCCTCATTTAAAATTATAAATTCATCTCTTATGCCGAAGGAGATACGAAAATCTAAATTACTTATAATTATACCCAAAATAAAAATGACAAATTATAATATATTAATAAGTAAATTTTTATAGGTCTCTTTGTACTAGTAACAGTAAGGCTGTAAAATAGTGAAGGTTTCAAAGACAGGCGTTGATTATACAACTAGAATTAAGCTTATGAGTCGATCATATGGATTCGCCTGGAGCGGCGGCGAATGACGCAAGGCGCATTGGTTAATAAGGCTTCGTGCAGTGTGAAACCGGAGCGCCATGGCGGCGGGGTTCCTTCTCTGTGTAGCCTGGTATTTCACTATTCTTGCTGGTAAGTGAAACGTCAATGTTAAGTATGGCCAAAATGACGAAAAATCACAAATACATGTTTTTAGTTCTTTGTTGTTAATGATCGATTTAGTGCGTTCATTATTTGAGATTTCCATTTCAGCAAGTTGGAAGATTATTTTCAACTATTATTTTCTACTGCGCTTGCTGAGGAACGACTCACTAAGCATAATCACGGGAGAAATGTAGCGATATCATATTTTAGTGTATTTAATCCATTTTGATTACGAGCTATTAATTACTCAAAAATTTATAATTTTTAACTATGAAAGATTTAGTCACATGGTCTATTATCTTGACAATACGTCTAAAAGTATACATGCATAATACATATTTCTCTTCAAAATACAGATAGTATTTCGCGACGTATTTTTTTACTACATTATAATATAAACACGTATTATACTTCATCAAAGTGCGTAACTGTACAGATCAAGAGCACGCCATATAACTCTATGCCACTTGCGATAGAACAGTCCAAAATCCAAAGTGTCAAGCTTGACGTGCTCTTGACTGTATAAGTTATGGCAATCGTAAATGTTGTTAGTTTTTGCAGGTTTTTATATTTTGTATTGTCCTGTTATATACTTAATGTTCTTAAACTACAAGCTGTATAGAACAATTGTTGACTCACTGTTTGCTTTGTGGGAGCTGTACCCAGTGGTAAGATAATGTGCATTTAAATAACTTATTTGTTTGTATGAGGACTGTTATCCAATTTGTAGATGTTTCAGGCGTTATTCCAATGTTGTTTTAATACGCATCTACACCACTCAGGCGATTATGTTGATCCCGATGAAAGTACTATTATTATAATTAATCATCGTACACGTGTTGATTGGAATTATGTATGGATGGCTCTGTATCATGCTACTCAACAACCGGAAAAATGTATTTGCAAGGAAAAAGTCAACGGTAAACAACACAGAACAGAAAGGGGTTTATTGGATGTTGGAGGAAAGTCAAAGACAAAGTTTGTCCTGAAGGAGGAGATTAAGAACATTCCTGGAATGGGTAATGAAATAATAAATAATGCAAAAATAATAAAGTAAGCGTACTTAGCAAGCGATGTTAAAAGACAATTTTCAACATTTTATATGCAAGGTTTTCTTTGCATTAAGTCGTATTTGTTCTATTCAATTTGAATCCAAATAATATTGTACAATAAATGAAATACTTGAACATTATCTGCAATTATACTAAAAAGTGTAATTTCCAAATTTGTGTACCGATATCTATAGTCTGTGTAACCGTCGCCCATTTTTACCGTTATATGTTTTTACAGGTTGGATAATGCAGCTAAACTATTGTCTGTACGTCAAGCGGGCGTGGCAGGAGGATCAGCTTGGTCTCTTTCAATTCGTGGATTATTATTCTCGAATGCGGTATCCATGCAGGATTGTACTTTTTCCAGAGGGTACTGATCTCAGTGAAGATAATCGCCGTAAAAGCCATAAATTTGCTGCAGTTAATAACTTGCCGGTAAGAATACATATTTTTGTTCTAGGACTTGGGCATAAATTCAAAATGGTATTTATATTTGTATACCGATTATTGTAAATAATATATAACATAGGACAGGTAACGTCACGAAATTATTAATGTGGTCGAAGTAGGTACGGCCACGATAGTATTGTATAGTATTAAACTACGGTATATACACAAGACATTAACGACACTGCAATTAAGACTAACTAGGTGACTCCAACAAGGAATAGTGCAAGTTAGCATGTGGCCGCCAAAACCAACTTATAAAACGTTTATTTAGTTTTATTACATTTTTATGATTAACTTGGCAGGTTTTAAGTATATTGAAACTAAAAATGTATTGGTTGAAATAAGTTTTATTGATTAATGAATGTCTGATTAATGATTATTCAATAATCGTTTTGTTTTCAAATTTAGAATAATTTAACTGAAATGTTTAAAATTATCTTATCTTTTGAATATCTTTGAATCGACTTATTTTAGACATTGAAAATCTTCTTCGTTGGCAATTCAACTGACTAGGGTAAGATTATACTCGTATTTTAATGAAAAAACATGGATCTATGAAACTAAATAAACTTGTCATAACTAACAATTTGGGATTCGCTTGGGGATACCATTAACCGACCAACACCTATCAATGAACGGGTAGGTGTTGGTTGATTAATTGGAACCTACAAAAGGAAACTGAAGCACATGAGACTGAAGTTATATACACAAGAAGGTATATATACACACTTTTCACTCGTTGAACAGCGCAAACCGAAAATGGCGCGTAACACAATACTTCTTTGATAACCATTGACTTACAATTATATGGACGTCGGGTCCGCTCTAAAAAGTGTCCGAACTTATAGGGCGTTAAAATCGTATACAGAGCGTCATTCACGCTTTAGTCTTCGTTTGTTTCTTCTGACAGCAAAGCAAGCAAAATTAGACAGTACTGCGATGACATTACAATTTAAATTCAACGTTTTAGCTTTTTCATATTCCTTTACATGTCACTACGTTTAAATAGGTTGACTTGGGACATTTTTTTCGTGGTTTTTGTATTAGACCCGTCGTCCATTTATTTGTAAGTCAATGTTGATAACCGTCAATGTTATGTCACATTGACATCTAGAATTTTATTTATTAATAATTTTGGCTTGGATACAAGTCCTTTGAGCCATGTCTTCGTTTAATTATGTTTCTGTAAATAGGGCCGCCACAAAGAGGGTAGGCAATTTGTGGCGGCGTGCTTGGATTGTCTCGGGATTCCTTAGAACGGGCCGATACGGGTATTTTAGTTCGAGATTCGTATAAGTTTTAATCTTCGATTAAGGCACAATAGCACTATCCTATTACATTTTAAACTAGATTTCACAAAATAATTGAAAGTCAAAATAAAAACGACACTTTTCCCTCCAAAAGGCCCAGAGCGAATTTGACATCTAGAATATTTGGTCATTACAATTCACGCAGTTAACCATGTATTTGATACAAGGTTTTATAAGAAAAAAATATTTAAACCAGTTTTATTCAAAGTTACAAGGAAATTTACGTTTGACGGTACTTTTAATTAGTTTGATTTATTTCGGCCATTAGTATACATAGAATTTATTTTGTAAGTTTATGCTTTAGTTTCATATATTGGGTAATTACGGTACCTGTATTAGTCGTTCTTGTTAATATTTCTGTATAAGCACTCACTTTAAACTTTTTAAATCAGAAATACGAATTCGTCCTCCATCCTCGCACGAAGGGGTGGGCAGCGCTGTGTTCGAGCCTCCGCTCTAACCTCACATCGATTTATGACGTTACTGTGGCCTACGACACTCCCGCGCAGACGGAAGCTGATCTACTGCGTAATAAAATCCCGAAGCATGTGTACTTTCATTTTAAACGGTTTGTATCTGAAAAATAATTTCTCGGTTGGTTCTCGTTTGGTTACAGAACAAACAACCATGTAGTGTAGAAAATGTCGAAATATATATATAGGCTGCGTCTGCGTGAAAATAAGGTATTTATTGTAATTTTAGTAGCAGTAGAGCGCCTTGTAGCAATCTTGCTAAAAAGGAGTAAAAAAAAAGGTAAAAAGGAGTGGAGGAGGCTACACCGACAAGAGTCTGGTTCATAGATAAGATGATGAGAGCTCCTTGTGAAAGAGTTCGTCCAGGGCAGTACTGTCACCTTACCTATTTCTGCCGCCAAGCAATAATGTTAGCATTACTGTGTTCCGGCTGTGGAGGGTAAGAGTGTTGGTATGCTTGTAGTACATGGGACTTGTCAACTCATGTCTCAGGGTGACGGGCGCAGTGACAGTGGCCCTCAGGTCTTAGTGATTTAAAGCTCTGAGTGGTACTGCAACTGTTATGAACAGGAGTGTAACTTACCATCTGGCGCATGACTTGTTCGTCCCGTCACTTGATAATAAAAAAAAGAATGAGAGAGTGAGAAAAAGAGTGTCTTTTTCGGCATTAGATTGCAGCTGTCATCGACATCAGAACTGTTGTGCGATTTAACAATATGAAAGTTGAATACTTTTGTCGCCGCTTTGCCTTAAAAATTCACCAAGAAACATTGCCAGACTATATAAAATAATGGCGGTCAGTGCTTCTTGAAATGGTCTATGCTCAGTAGTTAATTATTACAGCTAGTATCTCTTTCCATCCCGAATAACAAATGCATGGTTGGAAAAGTGGATCGTCGGTTAACTAGGGAAATGCTAGACGGGTATTGCGTCGTCGCAACTGCGCTATACTACATAAGTATAAATCAGAACGACATGCCACACGGTGCGTTGAAACAGCGCGCGTCCACGGAACAGCTCATGTGGAACTCAGTCAGTTGCAATCAACGCAGTTGCGACGATGCAATGCCGATGCGACGCCCGTGTGGAATCTCCTTAATATCTTCGCGATTAAAGATCGCCTCAAATTGTCGCAGGCAGGTGGCGCTACGCTGCAATGCATTAAAACGAGCAATTTAACATAAATTGATTCTTCTACAAAAAAAAAGAAGTAGCAACTGTAGCAAGCGGCGCACGGGCAGGGACAACGCAACCGGTCAATACAAGGTGTAACTTAGCATCTCAACGATAAGGTTTATTTCTTTGAAAGACAGTATTGGTGAACGAAAATCCCGCGCTGCGTTGCTTGGGTTACTCTTTGTGAAAAGAAATATAGTGTCCGTCAGGATGACTGAACCAAACGAGATATACAAATCAAACTGTGCTCATTATTTACTACCTATTTTCTACTATTTAGTACTTTTGTTGACATATTTTCTATCTTTGTGCTAACGTAAATATTAAAGAAATAAAGTGGTCAGCCATTCTGACGTCAGGATGGCAGGACCACTTTACGGGTCGTATTCCAGAACTCTACTCAATGCTCAAGTCAGGATTTGAGCAGACTTGAGTATGATTTCAAGCACTGGAAATACGACCCTAATGGCAAGGACTTGAGTATGATTTTCAGTGCTCACTGCAATACTCAAGTCCTGACTTGAGTATTTAGTAGAGTTCTGGAATACGACCCTAAGTTTTTCATGGTTCTAGCAGTATATAATTTACTTTTTTATATACCTATTTACCACCTAATATCTACCTAAACATACTTTTTTTTCCCTATTTTAGGAAGCTTCTATAAAAAGTTATTCAAAAAATAATAATAAAACGCCTTTGGAAAAATTATCATCTAAAAATGACAGTTTGTCTTGTCCGTATAATTGCTAATAACAGTTTAGCAGTAGCTTAGTCTATGCCAAGTTTGGTTTCTGGATTATCTTTGCAAGCTATATTTTATAACAATTATTATATAAATTATTACTTGAATTCATCATTACAAATGTAAATTCCATTTGTAGGTATTAAGGAATAGGAACGAATTATAATCAGTTATTTAATAATCGTTTCGTTTGATAATAAATATTCGAAACTACCCAAAATATTCATAATGGTGAAAATAATTGTGCAAAGTCCGCTTCCATAACGGCATTAATAATTACTATTTAGAGGTACTAAATAGTAGAAAATAGGTAGTAAGTAATGAGCACAGTTGATTTATATATCTCGCTTGGTCCAGCCATTCTGACGGACACGAAAAAATGTATACTTTATATCGTAGAGAACATTTTATATTATATAGCATTTAACAAAATGTGCGCCTGGCGCAAATCGATGTCGTCCACCGCCGCTTGCTGCATCTTCTTTTACATAGTTTGTTTAATTATAACCTTATCTAGTAGAAGACAATTTTATGTCGCATTGCTCATTTTAGCAACCCAATTGGCAGTGTAAAACAATGAATTGATTGGGTTGAAATCATATATGGTTGTAATGTGTAAATTGCAGAGTGGACATTTTGGACGCAATTCAATAACATGTTAATTTGTAAATATGTAATCAATGCACCAATAAAGTGACCAAAGTAGTAATTAAAAATCTACGTATCACTATTTATCCAAAGACTTAAAGTTTATTATACGCACGCACGCACGCACGCACGCACGCACGCACGCACGCACGCAAGCACGCACGCACGCACGCACGCACGCACGCACGCACGCACGCCCGAAGCACGCACGCACGAACGCACGCACGCACGCACGCACGCACGCACGCGCGCACGCACGCACGCACGCACGCACGCACGCAAGCACGCACGCAAGCACGCACGCACGCACGCACGCACGCACACACTTTTGTAGTACTGTGTTCAGAAGTAAACATTTCTGTTATACTTTTAATAATATTAAAAATTTGTTACAGATATTCCATTGATAACTTACCATTAGAAGAAGAACACCTAAAAACTTGGCTCAACGAGAGATGGAGTGAAAAAGAAGTAAACCTTAAGAAATTTCATACCGACGGGAATTTCACAGATCTTTCATCTAACAAATCATGTGCGGATAGAGAACCAAGAGCGCTACACGCTGCAAAACTAGCTTTTATTTTTTGGACACTAGTTGACATTTTGTTTATGTACTTGTTAATTTATAGTGCAGTGTTTCAGTTTTGGGTAATCTACAATTGTCTCTTGTTTGTCTCAGTCACATGGTACTTAGGAGGATTTCATAACATTCAATATAAATTATTACAAAAAAATAAGACTAAACATTAGAACAGCATAGTGCTAGGTAACTTATCATCAGTCTGTGAATGATGCCTATAATACATAAATAAGTAATAGTTCTGTTATTATTGGTTTTATATTATGGGTACATTTGTAGTATTGCTGTGTTATTTTATGACCATATTAGTGCAACAACGTTGCATGGTACCGCAAATAAAAAAATTTAGACGTTTTGTGTTTTATTCAAAACAAGAATTGTTTTTTAAATTTTTAACTGACTTAAAAAAAGGAGGAGGTTATACGTTCGGCTGTGTGTATTTTTCCGATTTTGAAAATAGTTTTTTCGTTTGAAAGGGTGCTCTCACGTGGAAGTCCCATTATCACCAAGTCAGAATCTGATGAGGGGTCCCAATGAAATCGAGGAAAATCCTCAAATTTTATAGGCTGACATGCCTATAAAATTTGAGGATTTTCCTACTGATTTCTCCGTCAATTGTGAACCGATTTTGAAAATTCCTTTTTTATTTCAAAGGGTATACTATCGAGGTGGTCCCTGGTCCCGACGATGCTGTTCCGGATTCGTTTCGGCTATCACAAATAAAAAAAATATTTTCCATAAATAAAAGTCGATTTTCACTTGACACAAAACAATCAACAAATCGCCGTCACCATGGCAATCAGAAAACAAGTTCAAAATGTACAAACGAGTCCGTAATAGTTCCATTGTCTCCAAGAAGTTAGAATCTGATGAGGGGATCCTATGGAAATCGAAAAAAGCCGACAAGCAAATTTTTGAGATCGGTTTTTTTTCCAATGAAAAAGTTACTATTATTATTATTATTATGTTTAAACAGTTTTTTAGACAAGTTTATGGAAACATTCATAGGTACTATTTGCTGCTGGTATCTATAGTTGTATCTATAGCTGGTATCTATTCATAATAGATAAAAATTTGACATTTGAAGAACATATCAATGCTCTCACTTCCGAAATGACGAGGTCAGCTTATGTCTTCAGACAGTTGAGGAATGTTCTTGAGACAAATCTCCTGATAAACTTTTGTGTTGTGCTTTGTGAGTCTATTCTTTTTTACTGCATAACAGCTTGGGGTGGGGCGTCAATGTCACACTTACTTCAATTGGAAAGGGCGCAACGACTAATATTAAGAATTGGTCTTCACAAACCACGTTTGTTTCCTACGGTCGAATTATACAAATTAGGTGAGGTGTTAACTGTTTGTCAGCTGTACATTGTTTCGACAGTATTAAGACGACATTCCGAAATTATTTTTACACCGGATCACTCAAATGCACAAATACGACGTCATTGCATGGTTTGCCCAACTCTCAAGACTAGAACTTCATTTATGCGAAGATTTTTCAGGTACCAGGGGAAAAGTTGTTTAACAAGGTAAATAAAAGTATTTCCCTCTGCAAGAGAGAATAAGTAAATGGTTATTATTACTTCATTATGTTGAACTGACTGACGTGATTGAACTGAAGTTGACTGAAGGTTTGCTTTACGCACGCACGTACGGACGCACGCATGCACGCGCGCAGGCACTAACACACTCCAACACAATTTGTTCCTCAAAGGGAGACCTGGTGTCTCATAACACTGGGTTTACGAGTGAATTTCACTTTCCGAATTTTAATGGCATTTTTTGGGTCATTTTTGTAAAACCCTTTTTCTTTTGGTTTTAAGGTCTTAAACGTACAAATAAGTTCAAGCAATGTCAATAATTATAAAATCACAGAAATATTTTAGGTCACACGAATGATATTGCGGTAACACGAATGATTATCTCGTAAACATAAATGAGAAAGACGGCACAGTAATGAGAAATTATTATTACAACACACATTTTATCGTTCACAAAAGAACATTTAACATCATTTAACATGTAACAAATGTTTTGATATAACTTCTTGTATCGAAATCCTTCTCATCCGTGTAAGACCATATATCTATCTAAAAAGTATTTTGTTAATGTTATATAAACTTTGTTGTACATCAATATATCATCATCACCACCATCAACATCTTCATCATGATCACCATTATCATCAGCATCATTACCATTCACATCGTCATCACAATCATCGTCATCATCACTACAATCATCACCGTCATCATCACCAGCATCATCATCGTCACCACCGTCAACACCATCACTATCACTATCTCATTGTTATATTTCAAGTAAATGTTTGGCTTAAAGTAACTATTTGACTAAAAAGAAGACAAGAATGAGAGCGACAATAATGATATTTGGATACATTTTTAATTGTCGAGTGTGTAAAATATGCTGCTGGACCCTTATAAAAGTGCATGGATGCTTTGTCTGATTGATGTACAATAAAGTTTATAAAAATATTACTTAATTATTATTTAGATAGATTGCTTTACATGAATGAGTACGATTTAGTCACTAGCGCTGAAATTGGTATTTAAGTCGATTTTCGGCCACGAAACATGAACATGAAGTAACCTGTCGAGACAGGTTACTGAAGTTGACTGAAGGTTAGCTTTACGCATGCACGCACACACGCACGAACGCACGCGCGCTCGCTCGCACGCACGCACGCACGCACGCACGCATGCACGGACACACGCACGAACAACCGTAACCGTAACCAGACGACAGTAACCTATCGAGACAGGTTACTTCACTGTGTACACTCCAATCCGACAGGAGCCCCCTCTCACGTGTGCAAAGGGCTTTTATTTGAAGTGACACTAATGATAAGAAAAATTGGAACACATTTTGTATTCCCAAGAAAAAATGTTTGTTTATAATAAATTGGAAAGTTAAGGTATGTATTCGACGTGAAAGCTATTAGAGTTTATCCTCGATGGGAAATATATCGTTTTCCACGAGTATTTAATTTTTTTCTTCTTTTCTTAAAATTAGGGCGGCGTAAATTAGGGGATTTTGATGATTCAGATTTTGATTATTTTGTGAACCGATTTCATTCATAAAGATTCATTTTTATAAATAGAACCTAAATTTTATTATAAGGAGCAATTATTTTAATGGTTGATTTTGCTATTCTCCAATTGAAGGCGTTTTTCTCTCTCAATATACTTTGACTAGTGAGAACCGAGATTTATTATCTTCTGTGTCAAGTTCCATATAGTGGCGAACCAGGGGATGAATCCGGGCAAAATTTGAGGTCGGTTTTTCAGTACTCTGTACTGAGATTATATTTCATGTACCTACTTGCATATAAGTTTCAATGTGGAAGAGAATAAATACATTATTAATAATATTATTATTATAGTTGCAAGTACTTTTAATTAACATGACAAGCAATCTTAAACATAATAAAATATAATATGAAAGTTAACCACAATTATAAAATTAAAGGCAAAGATTATCACGTATATCTACAGGGTGTAACAGCAAGGTGTAGTCATATTTGAAGGTCGGATTCAGTTAATGGTATGAAACTATTTAGCAAAGTTGTTTTAGTACAAACTACGTTATTTATGGAAATTTCGCCATGAACAGTTTCGATCAGCTGATGTCATTTAACGAAAATAAATAGTCACATCACATCTCTATTGAGTATCATAATACAACCAAATTACGTAACTTGAAAAAATTGTGAAATTCAGGCATGTTATTGTAAATGATAAAGTACTTAATGCCATATTCTTATTACTATGTTATAATTTACTAAATTTATTATTATTTTATTCATGTAATATGCGTGTGAACATTTAATGAAAAATAAATATTATCGATTACTTTGCCAAAATACACTAGTTCATAATAAAACTATTATTTAAAACTTAGTACATAATAACGTAATATGGTTTCGTTAACTTCATATCTTCAAACATACAAAATACACAAATTTCCATTTAATATCCATTAATAAAACTAATGTCCTCTAAAAAACACATATTTAAAGTTATCTCTGTTTCTTTTTAACATACGCATTCATCTATTATATTTTAATGAATGAAATTTGTCTCTTTCCATCCGTCGGTACTGTTCTAACGCATTATAGCGAATCAGTCGGTAGGTTTCTTCTAACGCATGACGCAATATGACGCAATTATCCGACTAATACTTCGCACCCTTACAATGAAAGCGACCCAAATCAAAAAATTAAAAAATGAGTTTATACCGTAAAACCATCTTAAAAAAATATTTTGTTACATTAGTCACACTGTGGTGAAGATGAAATTGTGCAATTAAAGCTCGAATAGCACTGATTCATAAAGGTCCCTTTCATTTTGTTCTTTCAGTTTAAAAATTCTACTCCCGCGTCGAAATATTAACGCCGCATTTATTGTTGAATCTGCATTTGCAAAGACAACACGCTGCCACTGACGGATTAGCATTTGAGCCATTTTCGTTCCGAAAATCATATTCAAAAATCACTAGTAGCAGTAGAGCTCCTTGTGAGTTCGTCCAGGGTAGTACTGCCACATTACCGTGGCTGGTGAAATTACAGGCACATGGGACTTGTCAACTATGTCTCGGAGAGATGGACGCCGTAGCAGTAGCCTTCGAGCGGCAGTGCTACTGTTATGGACAGGCGTGACGCTTTCCACCGGGTACACGACTTGTTCGACCCGTCGCTTAATATTTAAAAAAAAAATTTTTTAGTAACTTACTTTTTAAAGGGACTTACTTTTTTGTTTCGTGGACTTTCTTCTTTTTTAATTGTGAAACAGGGACCACAAAACATTATCAAGGGTTATGACATCTTGCTTAGCTGATGAACATTAAAAAGACTTAATTCTTAATACGTTAAATGATAACAAAAAATCGTTAAAAAAAAGACCTATTGGCGACTAGTTTTTGTAAATTATGTTTTTAAATTGTTGAACATTAAAATGATCAGAAACAATTTTCAGTTGTAAAGTTCCATTTTTCCTCATTATTTTCAAAGACTAATAAGGCCATCACCTTTAGTACTTCAAGAGTAGGTAATAAATAAAATAATATGAAAATATGAAAAAACTTGAAATCTTATTTTCTTTTTTATTCCCAAAAAGTTGAAATTTTGTATTGGGACACTTTCATCGTAAAGGTGCAACCTGAAGGTCGGTAAACGTCAAGAAATTAGTTTTGATCGTTGACCACGAATTAATTATTGTAATTTTAATTTAATTTAATTTTTTTTTATGATTGATTTAGTGTCTGTTTAAGTATATCTAAATGTTTTAAAATGAATGTTGAGCACAGTAATAATTGGGCACAGATATGCCTGTTGTATTAATTTTTAAGTGTTTTTATTTTCCTCACTTTCTGTATCTGATGTCTGTACATTGTGCCATAAATAAAAAATAAAAAATAAAAATAAAATAAATTTTCATCACTTGCTTGGAATGAAAATATCGTGAGAAAACTTGGATTTCGGAGATAATTGCCGAAATCTTCAAAGATGCGAGAATGTCAAGTTTCCAACCAGTACTTACTATGCAAGTGCAGTGGACTAAACCTTGTGCAAAAAATAGTACTTTACTAACTTACATACGTCTATTGCTGAGCGCACGTTTCTAACAACAGGCTTACACTTAATTTGACTTATCTACACACGACAACTTTCTGGGTATGGGTTTATTACATGGTGAAATTGAAATAATTAATATCCGTTGAACCTATTAAGGTTCTTACTTCCTAATAATATCTACTCATCTAAAGAAATATTTTAGAATAGTTTAAATTAGCAATAGTGTAAAACCATAAAAAATCTTACCTAAATAAACAAAGTATCAAGATTAGTCGCCTTGCGTACGCGATACGTAATCGTAGCGAAGTCGCAAGCCTTTGGCGGCAACTTTGGCGGCAAAAATATCACCTTTGATTTTCGCCGCCAGCATTTGATTTTATACATGGTGATGTGGATTAGTGGTTAATGTTAGACTCGTTTCGGAGGTCGTGGATTCGATTCTCATAGTTGACTGGCTCTATGGGGTAGTTGTTAGAGTGTTAGGTTTTCTTTGCGGATGTCGTAGATTTGATTCCCATAGTTGACTGCCTCCATAGTCTAGTGGTTAGAGCGTTAGGCTTTCTTTTCGGAAGTCGTGGATTTGATTCCCATAGTCGACTGCCTCTATGGTGTAGTGGTTGGTTAGAGTGTTAGGCTTTCGTTTCGGCGGTTGTGGATTTGATTCCCATAGTCGACTGCCTCCATGGTGTAGTGGTTAGTGTTAGGCTTTGTTTTCGGAGGTCGTGGATTTGATTCCTATAGTCGACTGCCTCCATGGTGTAGTGGTTAGAGTGTTAGGCTTTCGTTTCGGAGGTCGTGGATTTGATTCCTATAGTCGACTGCCTCCATGGTGTAGTGGTTAGTGTGTTAGGCTTTCGTTTCGGACGTCGTGAGTTTCCGATGGGTGACTGCCTCCTTAGTGCAGTATATCCGTAATCACTCAGTCAGTTCTTGCATTATGTGGAAGTGGTACGGGTGATGGTCAGAGCTTGTTTACAAACAAAGGCGTATGCAGTGCAACGTTGAAGGTCGTAGACGTAGGATATAGGTATTCGTTTAATGTGTATGTAATGATGTAATTTGTATCAGGAGAAGGGTCTTATTTCAAAAGGATGGTAATAATTTTAATTTCACCCTGTAGGTACATTATGAAAACGTTACCCTATATTCCAAAATTTGCGTTTCAGTCGGCGTCCTTTGATGTGCCGCCGCTGAGGCAGAGGTGCTATTTTTTAATTTTTTGTAACAGTCTGTAATTGCCGTTTGCGTTGTGAGGACTAAATAGGTGTCATCGTTTTGTTTGTGTCTTGTTTTTGTGTTTATTTAAACTATGTCACGCTTAAGCGATAGTGATTACTAAGAGATGATGTTGTGCGTAGGCGCAGCCGATGGGAGCTTGCGCCAGCCTCGCCAAATTTATTGGGCAAAGTTTATTGATGGCGTCCCAGAAAATCGACGTCGACCATTTCCTGCTGTGGAATGCTTCAGGAAGATGGTTATGAGACTTCATAATAGTGGATCGTTCCGTGGTTCCAGTTCTGAAGGCCGGCCGAGTTCACGAGACCCAGAATTCGAGGCAGATGTTTTGGAACATTTTCTCGGCAATCCAAAGACAAGTACTCGTCGTGCTGCGGCAGCCTTTGGTGGTGTGAACCATATGAGTGTGTGGCGTGTGCTACGGGATGATGGCCAGCACCCATACCATTTTCAAAGAACGCAGGAGCTGTTACAAGCGGACTATGATCTACGTTTGGCATTTTGCCGCTGGTACCGCGACCAGGTTGGGAGGTCTCCCGACTTCGCTTCGTCGGTACTGTGGACAGACGAGGCGTCATTTACGCGTGCGGGCATTATCAATATGCATAATGAACATTTTTGGACTCATTTGAATCCCCGCGTATCAAGGGAATCAAATTTTCAACACCAGTGGCGGATTAACGTGTGGGCTGGTATAATAGGTTGTGCCGTCATCGGTCCAGTGTTTTTGCCGGCAAGTCTGAATGGGGCCAATTATTTAAGATTCCTAACAGAAGACTTGGGTGACGTTCTGATGGCCCTGCCAGTGACACAATACGTGAGACTCGTGATGGAACATGGGATGACTTTCTAGCACGATGGAGCACCCGCACATTTTGCTCGAAATGTACGTTCCCATCTGAACGACCGTCTCCCGCAGTGGATTGGGCGGGGAGGTCCTGTACCCTGGCCAGCGTGGTCCCCAGACTTGACACCGCTCGATTTTTTTTGTGGGGTCATATAAAAATATTGTTTATGCGGAGTCCTGTGAAAGCGCAGAAGAAATGAGGCAGCGGATCGAAATGGCGTTTAGTCAAATCACTCGGCAGATGCTTCAAAGAGTAGAGCAGTCTCTGTACCGACGCACGGAAATATGCATATTGCATGGAGGTCGGCATTTTGAACCTTACCTGTAAATGTGTGAAATGTGCCAGCAGTGCGTGTAGTGATTGTACTTATTATTCAAAATTATCGTAAACAAGTCAATATTTCGTACATTGTACAACAGTGAATTACAATTCGTAGGAAATTCATTAAAACGTGTATGAATTGCACAGTAGGTAAGTACCAATTAAAAAAGTATCCACTATTGTAAAATTGTCGTAAATAAATGTATTAATACAAAATTATGTAGAATGTGTATACGATGAAGGCGTGCGTAACTACGGGCTTAATAAGTAAATAAATATCCTTTAAATTGTATGTAAATAAGTACGTACCTAGGTATGGTATAAAATAATATTGTTAGAAATAATTCGATTTTTCTAGGTATTTAAAGATTTTGTTACTTAATATTAACGTGTTATCAACATATTCAAATCATGTTTTTACAGTGGCATTTCAATTGTAGTCAGCTGTTCTTTCGCCGCTCCGCCCAGGTTTCATTAATGAATTTGTGAAGTCGTAGTAACGTAACTAGCAATAGAGTTGTGACGCAGTGGTTGTTTCGGACAATCACTATTTATACAAACATAATTAAAGTTATATCAACATTAAAAGTCACTTATTTTTATTTGATATTTTGCACAGAGGGTCTAGATCAAGTATAGGTTTGGCTCCTTTAATATGACTACACCTTGCGGTTACACCCTGTATAACAACAACAACAGTTCAACGTCGTCTTCAGCTTTACACTTCGAGATTTTGGACCGCCCTTATCATAAGTGGCATAGAATTCGATTTTATATTCGAGGTTTAAAGCTGAGCGTGCTTTTGATTGTACATATACAACTTAAATTAGATAAGATCGGAAACTATTTCAAAAACATAATTATGTCCAATTATTATTTTATTGATCTATCTATTGGAATATCTTTCCGGTTTTCTGTTTGTTCTATTGTATTTAAGAGAGTTGTGTCCTTAGTTTCTGGTAAGCAATAACACATAATGGCTGCTAATAAAGCAAAGCCGCTAAATATTAAAATAGACACCCACTCAATACCTATGTTGACTACAAAAGGAGCGATGAAACCGCCAAATCTCGCAAACATTGAAGCTAGACCCATTGCTGAGTTTCTAATTACTGTAGGAAATACTTCCGCCGTGTACAAGTAAACTAAAACAAATGAATAATGTGATCCTGTCGAACCTATTAAAGCAAATGTTAAAGTAACAGCTTGCCACTCGCTGGGGATCACTATAAAAAGGAGTAGAGATACCGCTACCACGCAGAAATAGGTGATCACGCACAGTTTTCGTTTTATATATATTGCCGCCAAAACGGTTATGGTGTTGCCAGGCAAATGGCTGGCCGCAGATAGCATCACATTCATATATAAGTTACCCTGCAGACGGCCGACGTACTGGTTGATGCCGAAGTAAGTGTGAGCACAGAACATCCACACTAATACGTTGATCATGGTATAGAATCTTATTTTTGGTGTCCTTACGACATCTATATAGGAACCACGTTGGTCTTTCGGTGCACTTTCGATGTTATTGATTATGTTTTCGATATCTTCAGTAGAACGATTGTTTCTGAAACAATTTACAATATTATGAACCGCTTTCAATTACATAAGAAATGAAACTGTTTTTTTCGGTTCTTTATCACGTATATTTGTTTTTTCCTAACAAACCACGGGCACTTTACAAGAGGAGCTACTAAGCGGCTACTTTTGTTTGGATACCATAGCAATGAACCACACACACACACACTTCTTGTTTTTCAGGTTTCCTATAAAACTTTCGCCGTATCTTGATGAAGAACAGGTGACATAAACGTAGATTGTGGACTATTATGAACATTATGATATTCTTTTCTTTTATAACTTCTTTTATTATTGGCCCACAGGCTATTTATTATCAGTCACGTCGCTTTCGATTTATTTTGAGTTGAAGGGGCCCTTTACAGGCCCTGTGTCACGGCTGTAAAGGGCAAGATACATTGGTTTGTTTGAAAAATAAATATATGCTATTTAGATCCGAAAAAAACACACTAGTAATTTCCTACATATACAAATTGCGACAACCTAGGAACTGTTTTATTTGCTTTTCGCTCATAATGTAACAATTAGTATCACTTATTGTATTTGATCAATTTATATAAATGTGGGAGATAACAGTGACTATGCATTACGTATATTTATTACTTCAGACAACTAAGTACCTATTTAATTTGCCAGGTGCTAAGAACATAGCGTTAAACATGATTTACCTTTTGGCAATACGCGTTAATAGGACAATTGCTTCTTTCTTTCTTCCAACAGTTATAAGCCAGCGAGGCGATTCTGGTAAAATCCAGAAGTATATGATTACAAATACCCAGGGCACAGATGTAACCAGTTGCAAATACCGCCACTCTCTGACAAAATATGCGATAACAGCCAGTGAAAAGTAACTAGATATGTAAGACATTTCATGCAAACCAGTCGCTTGTGATCTGAAAGACTTTCCACTGAATTCAATAATGTAAATGTAAGAGCAGAGCATAGTGCCCCCGACGCCTGCTCCTATCAAGCATCGACAGATAATAAACATCCATAATTGTTTTCCTGTTGCAGATAGCGCCACAAATGTTACGGTGCTTAGTTGTGCAGTTATTAATGTAATCTTTCTTCCATAACTGAAATCAAAAGAAAAATTAAATTAAAAATGCAAGTTCTTTCCGGTTATATGTTTGGCATAATCTTTAAAGATTATTGAACTAAGATGCATGAAAACTAAACTAAACAGGTGAAGCTGTCAGGATACGTACACTTTTTAAAGGCACCTTTTTGTATTGTATACTATTAGTTTTGGATATGCGTTTAACTTAAACTTACCGGTCTGATATATATCCGAAGAATAGGCTACCTAGTAGTATGCCTACTTGGAGTATCGATTGGGATAAACTTGCAAGTGATTGCCTATTGCATATCAAATTGAACTCACTTGTAATTGAGCTAACAATATCGTCCGTTACGTACAGAGGATTGTCACATGGACAGTAATTGGTATTATTATTGGCACCCTCGTCTAGACAGATGTAATTTACACTTGGTAGGATAAAGACAACATTCGTCAATTGGTATTCTATTGGGTATTTTGAAGCTATACACAGCACCAATATCCATGATTGATATCTACCAAATCTACCAATGATTTTTTCTATGGCGTCTTCTACAGACATTGTACACCTGTAAAAGAATCAATGTACTAATTTATACAGATATTACTGAGTTTTGTGCGATATTGTAAGTAGATAATAATGTATTTAAAGACTAAAAAAGTTATGGTGTTCTAGCTGGGTTCTAAGAACTGCTGGTTTGAGCTAACTCTATGTAAATATGAAATTAAAAACTCACCTTTTTTATGAATTATATGAAATAAAAGAGTGTCTACCACTCGCGCTCTGCGCGAAAAATATTAAATGACAATATTACTCTACTTCCTCAAGCCTGCATTTACGTCTGATAAGATGGTATATTTTATCACGTACTGACACAGAAGACAGACACATAAAGGGTTATAAAAAAAGGCATATTTTATCATGAACTGTCACCGAAGACAGACACATAAAGGGTGATAAAAAACACTATCTATTTTTATTTTAAATGTTTCATAAATATAAATAAGTTACGACGTCTCAAAGTTTTCTCAAAAATACCCAATTTGATTGGCAACGGGTTTACCATAGTGTAATAAGATCAAGGGCAAGTCCAGCTTGTTGCGCGCATCAATGCCTACACTTCCCTTGGAGGGAATGGTTGTCACATTTTTAGTTGTACCTGCAGGTTGTAAACATAAATTTATGAAAACATTTCAACAATATAGGTATTTGTGTTACTTCACTAAATATGCATTCTCAAGTTGTTTATGAAAAAGATGACACGCTTCGGCCGTTTGAAAAAGTGCATCATCGCCGTTCTATCTGAATTTATTTCTGTGATCCAGAAGACCCAGGTCAAAATTTAGAAAAGGTCGTTTCAGGAACTCCTCATCTAACGCCCATAGTGCTAACTGCTGTGCCGACAAAGTCGTCTAAAAAATGTAACTTGCCTCTCATGTTCATTAAATATCTAGAACAACGACAATTGGACGTAGTTAAACAAAAAGGATACAATTCACATCCATTCACTTCCGAGATACGGCAGTTTGAAGTTTAAAAGTGTTTCTCCCTCTTGTTTTATTTTCAAAACTTATAATGTCATGTAACTCCAGATATTTATACATGGATTTTTTTTGTTGATCTAAGAGGTTAGACTTTAGTAAATATAACTCATTTTTTGATAATTTTGCGCATTGGAACCTTTTTGCTTAACTACGTCCAATTCTGAATTTGTGGCACTCCAGTTCAAACAACCATAAACGCTACAATAACCACATTACTATTTGATGTCATTTTTTAAACAACGAGCAAACGTTTCAAGTCTATAGTGATTAGTGAATGGTGTGTTGGGACATCGACGCTATACCTGCTAAACGGGGCTAAGTGACAAAATATTTTCTTGAGATATCATAAAAAACCACAACTCAGTTTTAGAATATTGAAATTATTTAATGATTTTTCAGCTATGCATCGTTAGGGTAGGTTCCGATAAGTCGAACACGTTAACTAATTTTAACTGTTTTCAAAAGAGAATTTTGTGTTTTATTTTGTTTTAATTAACTCGGACGGATATTTGTCACTTAGTGGACGGCAGATACAATGCGAGTGCACTGTGAGATTATACGAATGTCTGCCTCCGTAGATGACTCATAGAGTTGAACCTAAATCTTAAGTATCAAGCTTGATGCGCTCATTAAGAGTTTGCACATAGCATACAATGTTAGAAATAGTTTAATCAGTGAAAGTGTATTCGATAACGCGTCTAGCACGTTTAATAACGTTCTTTTTTAGTGTTATTAGCACTGTATCTTTACTTTTCATAGCGTCATATACGCTTAATAATATAAATTTACTTTTATGCTCGTCACGGCTTAGAGCTTCAGTACAATAAACAACAAAGTAAGCAGAAAATTTTCATTTAGTATGTAGGTACTCACGATTGGACTACATGTTAGCGCGCTTGGGATGACACAGCTGTACCGGGCGATTGCAGACACAGCGGCTGCAGTGACTTTAGAACCTTCCTCTTCACGTTCGCTTTTCGACAATGGGGCATTATTTAATACCAAAGATCTCTAGGCACAGTATATTTACCTAAACTTAAACAACCTTTTAAAACTTTAAACATGCATTAGGTAATAAACATCTTCAAAAAAATTAAAAACAGTTTTTTTATTTAAAAAGAAACTGACCTCAAAAGTTAGCTTAGCGGTTTTTCTTGGAATGGATGGAGATGGAATTACATCTATTTACCAAATTTTATTGTAATCGGTTAACAGAAAGTGCGCGAAACTGGTTTCATCCCCTAGTTTGTCACCCTTGAGAGGTGGAATATTTTATTCAAATTTAAATTGGACCAATACGGAGTTACTCTCTTTCCAACAAAAATCGTCAAATCATCAAAATCGGTTCACAAATACCGGAGTAATCGCGTTACATACACAAAAAAAATAGTTGAATCGAGAACCTCCTCCTTTTTTGAAGTTGGTTAAAAACGGGTATATTAAAAATAAATAATTACAAAACTTTTATTCTAAATACACTGTTGTAGTTTACTACGACTAATTGCTAGTAAGACTTTAAAAATATAAAACAAAACACTGGAATAATTCCGGTGTACACTTATAGAGGGAATGTTAATCCATTTCATGTGTATCGCTTCCTTTAAGTTAAGGTACCCATCGATTACTTCCTACGCCAATAAACGTAAGCCCAAATTCACAACTTTACGGGGAGTATTTTAATATATTGAAAGGACTAAAATGAGCATAATACTTGCGATTCTGGAGAGATTACAATTCTTGACATTATTATAATTTTCCTGCTGAGTATAATAGAACTACATTAAAAATAAAGTGATTTACAAAAAATACACCTTACGATAGATTACGTAGTAGATATTTACTCTGCCTACTATAATATCTGATTACAAGTATTTTCGTGAGTGTCAGTGACATACAAACAAGTGGTCCGGACACGTGCCCTAAAGCCGTAGGCGGCGTGGGCGCACCCGTCAACTTTATCGACATTTTATAAATAATATAATAATAATATGCAATATGTCTTAACAATAAAAAACATTTTTTTTCCAAGTATTTTTTATTACTCAGAAGACAATTTAGACACGTATACGCTTAGTTATGTATGTATATTCATGTTACGTGTTAAGCGATAGAATTATGTGGTTGATTATTAAACTTAGTTTCGAATTATTTCATGAGAATCACGAATTAGAAATGATAGTCATATAACGAATAAAAAATGATACCATATTTCAATTTTCGTTCCTCCGATTGAGTTACCTAAGAGGGGTCGTTCAGAACCTTACGATGACGCAGTCCACCAATTTATTTTAATTTTTATTCATAACACCCGAACCGAACGTCAAACTGTCGTATTTGAAACCGAACCGAAATGACGTCACACCCGTACGATTACTCGAACTTCTCGACCGGCAAACGCTATATGGCTACAAACGTTATTCAGAACACAGTTATCGAATGAAAGTTACCGAACGTCCTATTGTTTACAAAGCAAGAATGTAATATGGACATATCGACGCCGCGCACCGGAAAGCGATCTTGTCGTATCTCGAAAAATAGGAGGTTACACCGGGGCCGAAAAACTATTTCAAAAAATTATTTCTCTTTAATTTGCATTAGTAGAAAGTCAATTTTAAAGAATGATGTATATAATTAAACTATACAAATGGTTTAATAATTATATGACCCGTTTACTGGCAACCAATAAAATTGAAACAGAAAAGTAAGTGTCACTCTTACGCGTAATGAAAACTTAATTATCACAGCCTAAATCTATGTACTTACACGTATATGGATAGTTTTGTCATACTCTGATGGCAATAATATTTTTTTTTAAATTAAACATAATTCAGAATAATCTCATAATAAAAGTACTTCATCCATAAATAATCCATCATACCAACTTATACTCAAATCCCAACTCACACCTTCACTTGTTTTAAATTCACACAAGGCACATTGAATACTTAATTTGATAATAAACTCAGTTAGCTTATCACGAGATCAGATTAGGATTCACGCTTCTCCTTCTTCTAGAGTGTCAGGTAGTTTCTTTCCACGAGTGTCAGGAAGAATTATGCAGAGCCCAGCGCCAACCAAAGGAATTATACCAAAAGCAAGAGGCGGCAGCCAAGGTGTAGATTGACCAAGAGTCGCGACAAAGGGTGCTACCATAGACCCTATTCTGGCTACAGTTGACGATAGTCCTACACCAGAGTTTCTCACAATTGTGGGGAAGAGTTCTCCTGCGTATAAGTAAACGGTGGCAAACGATATGCTCATTCCCCATAATCCAATGCAACCGAGTGTCAAGTGACTGACTCCGGAATGAGGAATGACGATTATAAGCAGGCAACTAAAGCCGGTTACGCAATTGGAACTGATTAGAGTTATCTTGCGGCCGAGAACTCGGTTCGCATAGATTGATATGAGGGTGCCGGGGACCTGAAATAAACAAAAATACACTTAGGTAAATAGTTATGATTTCTTGGGAAAATTTCTAAGGATTTTCTTAATTTGAAAAGTCTTACTCAGTTGCTTATTATTATTAAAGCACGGAGCCACTTAATACATATAAAGAAAAGTGTATTAAAAATAAATGTTATCATGCCGTGTTCGATAGTTACCTATTGTAACAATCAAGTTATAGTTTTTATTCTCTACAATTAACCGGTACGACAATGTTAAAGGTCAGGTTATGTATTCATTAAATTTTAAACAAAATTAAAATGTTATGATTTTGAACTATTTATAAATGGAAATATTATCTCATGACTCATGACATTATAATTACTGTATTCACTTTAACATTTTTTTTTTATTTGAAAGCTAATAAGCAAAATGTTTGTAAGACTACTTACATACCTATGATAGTATGATTGGAATTCATGAAACTAAGTAAAGTACGTTTATAATTTTGATAGTTTGATCTTGTCTCAAAAATTGTTATCATTTCTCAATGAACTACCAAATGGTTTCAAACAAATCCTTATAGTAAATAATTAGGTACGGGGTTATTGACTATGTGGGCACACCAATGGGAATTACTTAAACGTGACGGATTGTATCTATTTTTGTAAATCATTTATTTTTTGTGACATGACTCCACCAACTTGTAATAATTATTAACGGACTTTTGCGGTAGTGCCATCTGCGACAAATCTACGAAAGTTTTTCTTCGCTCAATCTTATAGCTATAGGTTGACAAACGATGTTGCTTTGATATATTGTAATATTGATTGTAATGAATATTAGATTACTGAATATTAATTATGATTAAGATTTATGTTCGATCTTTGTATTATAACAAACTAAGTAGTGCAGTAATTTCTCAAAAAATAAATTAATGTCACTGTAGTAAAACATTATAATATTCGTTACGATCAATAATAAAAAATATTACCTGAATTGCAGCAGAAATTGCGACATTTGTAAAAATGTTTCCAGAAACGTGTCCAATGTACTGGGAGACACCGAAGAAGCAGAGCCCACACACGAACCAGTTGAAACAGATGGCTAGGGTGCGTGCGCGCAGTCGGGGCGTCCGGAATAGAGCTATGAATGAAGCGTGTTCTTCAGTCTTACTGCCCACGTCCACTACTATCTTCTGGGTAAATGACGCAAGTCCATCCGTAGAGAGGCCGTTCCTGAAATGAAGATAGTTATTAAATAGTTATTTAATCATCTACTTATTTATCATTTAATTTTTTTTTTAATAAGAAGTGTCGGGACGAACAAGTCATGCGCTTGGCAGTAAGCGATATGCTTGTTCATAGCGTTTGTACTGCCACTCAGAGCTTTAAATCGCGAAAATCTGAGGGGCACTGGTACTGCGGCCGTCACCCTGAGACATAAGTCGACAAGTCCCATGTGCCTGTAATTTCACCAGCACCTTTTAAAACCGGAACGCAGTAATTCTCATGTTACTGCTTGGTGGCAGAAATCAGGCAATATAATGTTTTATGTAATTATCTTGATACACACATTTTCTATTGACTTAGCCATATTAAGTTGCAAAATGTTATTTGCAAGTTGTGCGCATTGTTGTTGAGCTACAAATTTGATGTTTCTGGTCAGTGTCATAGTTTTACTTGCAATAAATAATTTGTATTTTGTAATTGTGCCCAAATAAATAAAAAAAGGTACGAACTCTTTCACAAGAAGCTTTAAAAAAAATTACTGTTCATTAATAAAAAATATTTCATTTTAATTTACCGTTTAGCAGCGGTTTCCATAATTTTGATAGCTTCTTGCGTTTTCCCTGCTGTTAACAACCACCTCGGAGATTCAGGTAATAAATAGTAGTAGCTCAAAAATAACACTGACGGTAGTGATATTGCTAGCTGGAACATGTTCCAATCGCGGAGGTAATAGCCGAAGACTGGTAAAGTTAGATGTCCAAGGTTAAAGGGAATTTGGTAAATAATTCCTACACTTTCTCTGTATTTAGCACCAATAAGTTCCATAGTAAGGACGAAGCTGGTAACCATTGTGCCTCCAGTGGCAACAGCAAGAAGAAATCGAAGAGTGGTGAACATGTACCAATTCACCGAATATGCTGTTGTTACTCCTGATATAAGTTGCAGGAACACGGCTGCCAAAAACGGCATTCGCCTTCCGTATCTGCAAAAAATTGTAAGGCAATAATCAATGTTAATGCAGCTAAATGTCATAAGTAGAGAACAGATTCTGCGAAGTGCCATGCGTGTAAGTACGATTAGCCACCCTGCAGCGAATCGCAGCAGTCGCCACAAATCTCTTTTGTATATATTTTATAGTCCCTTTAAGTTTTAGTTTTATAATTAAATTCTAAATTTAAATGTGATTGTTTTTGGCGCCTTGTTTTGGATTGATAAGCTGTACGTGTTTTTGTCTTAGAGGATGGAAAAAAATAAAGGAAAGGAGATGCCTTATCTACGGAATAAACATCCCTACCTAAACCAAAAATGTCCACCACAAATGGTGAATTTAGTGTTGTACCATATTCATAGATAAGTCAATATCGACATGCAAATGTATGGCTTGAATGTTGAAACTGTTGTTACTATGTTTTATGTTTGCAAATTTGTGTAGTTTACTGTAATCAAAATTTTGATTAAAATGGCTCATTACTTGCCTAGTAATATTAGCCTAATATTATGATTAATATTAGGCTATTATTACTAGGCAAGTAATGAGCCATTTTAATCAAAATAATATATAAAGTTATTTACCAATAATTGTAACGATGGAATTGCATTAACATGCAATCTAGTTACATTTAAAGTTCTATTTAAATTTGAATGGAACAAACAAACGAAGATGGTATTTGATCCAATATTTATGTTCGGCAGTCCTATAATTTCCAACCATTCTTTCTTCCTTTTTTCATTTGTAGGTAAACTTTAAAAATAATAATAATGTAATAATCAAAACCTCGTAGTGAATTGTTTTAATAACAGAATATCGATAATATGTCTGCTTACTAGAACAGCACTATCTCAAAATAATCGTTATCAACAATCATCAAAATATACTAATAAACAGGCAATCTAAAGTAATCAAAGCAAAATTCGGCAATACTTATGAATAAACTACTTAAATGAGTCTAATTACATGAGATATTTCGGCTATTGTATGATTTATAGGCAGAAAAATAATACATGCCTGTGTAATGTAACATTCGGTTGATTTCCGCTTTTTCTACTGCCGCATCCCTTAATGCTGCAGCGACGCATTTTTATCAATACTTAATTGTTCTCACTGTCAATATTTTTGTCAATTTCATTACAATTAATACGAATAATTCACTAAAACATTTGGCCAAACATTGGTTTTGACATTTGATGTACTTCCCTTTGACAACCGGATACGGATGTCAAAGGGTATTCCGAAAATGGTAAATTGAGGACTGTTGACATTTAAGATGACGTTACGTATTTTCGATTCCCGTGTTTACATAATTCAATGTAATGCTATCTCTTTTGGCTTACGACAGCACGCAATAGTTAAACAAGATAATAAAATGTTTATGTTTTCATCGTCTAAATGCATCATATAAATATAACGTCTGATTTATATATGTCGATATAACATGTCCTTTGGTTTCCATAGTATAAGGTTTTTGTAGTAAATTAATAAACTGTAAGTACATTTGCTTTAGTCTTGCTCACTCTTTGTTAGCACCCATCCGAACTCATTGATACAGTCCGCTACAACCCCTAAAGACATACATTCTGTCGAAATTCGTTCTTACAACATTTTTCCCTTACGTCGTTCATAGCATTTGTTTAAAAATTGACAATTTGTACAGCTTGGGATTGAATGGAAGCAAAGCAACAAATAATGACGCATAGTCCATTTTGTTCTGATAATCGGCTCGTGTATGTAGGGTTATCGGTAAAGTTTTAACGCAATTACAAGACGTCATCAAAACACATTCTAATAAAATTTCAAAGCTTTGAAAACAATATATTTATAAAAATTGCGCACGAAAGCCAATCCTGTCGTAACTCAAAATTGTGGAATTGAGAAAACAAGATTTGAAAATTTAGTCTTGTAATCACATTATTCTCAATAAGATGCATTCAGTATTATTTTTTCACTGGTGTTCAATGAATTTACAAATTGTGACGTAAATTAATTATTTTCTCAAAAGTTTAAGTTACATCTTTCCGTGTTAAATGGAGCAAAAATATTTAAAGTGTATCTAGTGCACTTTAGCTTGTTTATAAATAGGCCCGACACCCATCCAGCAATTTACTAAAGTAATTACATCCGGAATCCATACGCGAATCATAAGACTAATCTTACAATAACTACCAGGATATACCAATTTATTCTGGACGACCGGACCAATAATTTACATATTTAAAGCCAAAGAAAACGAATGCACCAACCTATCAGAGAGATGTCCGAATACCATGTTGCCTACAAGAATGCCCAGCATGAAGACTGTTTGAGTTAAATTTTTCAGCCACTGTCGGTCGCATACTAGATCCCATTGCGATACGATTGTTTCTTTGAAGATGCTGTGGTCATATTTGTAACTGCTGCAGTTGGCATAACACTGATTATCGAAGGCTTCAGTAGCGTGATCTGCGCAAGTGAAATTCACTGGTGGTGCGAGGAATATAATGCTCATCTGGTGCCAAGCCACGGGGAACTTAACGAGGAACACGACGAAACATATCCATATCTGCCATTTTCCAATGGATCCGATTGCTTTCGTCAATGGGTCTTCTTTAACTTTCTGGCTTTCAACGTCTTTTGTTTCGTTCTCCAACACTGAAAAAAAAGATGTCAAAAATTAACCTACAAGTATATTTCTACATGTGACGTAAAATTTATTAATTATAAAGATGCTGTGCTTTAAAAAGCCTTCAATCTACGCATAATTTATTAATACGTGTATTGTATAAAAAAAGCATAATTCTTCTTTTTTAAAATACTCGTATACACCGTAAAAAATTATATTCGTTTTAACGATATCACAGTTTCATGCAGAATCTTTAATTTATCAGTAACATCAAAAGTTTTGATATAAGATTAAGTTTGCTGTAACTACAATAGGAATTTACCTATAACATAACCTAAAACACTTTGGACTTTTAGTAGTGGCAATCGATGCAAAAGTCTATGAAAATATTTTCCGTTCCACACAATAACAATTGTGAACAATAAAGTGTTAGGTTAATGTGTTAACATGTAGAGTTGCTTTTGGCCGTTTTGTAGTTAAGTAATTTTAAATAAAAACTGTTGTTTACATCGTTTTGCACAATAAAAATTTAGCTGTGTATATGTAACCCTAATAACGCTGTAAATATGTAACACTATTTATTTAAATACTTTGAAAGAAAATTAAAACTTACGCATTTTTTGGTGGCCTTTAAAATTAATTTCATTTGCCATTTTTTTACCTCAATTTTAGGTATCACACCTAATTGTAACTATACACATAGTTACAATTAGGTGTGATACATATACTTATGCCTTAAAAAAATAAGACTGCAACCCGGTCGCAACTCAGGCGCGGAGTGGTTTGAAGGACTTCCTTGAATGTTACGAAATCTCCCGCGACTATTATCACTTATACGTACGACTATCTCCATGTGACGCAGTATTCAATAATATTTGAAGAAATGTAATAATGGCGCCTTCAACTGCATTGTACTGCGTTTTAACATCATGTACGAATGCTACTAGAAAAATATATAATTTGAACCGTATTTATTCCATTATTATATTCGTAATAATCCAATGACGATGCGAAGAGTTGCTATCGAATGACGATCGTATCGTGACGTTTGATGTGAGTATCGCAGTTAGATTATTGTCTGCTAGCGCAAAAACAATTTATGTTCATAATGAACCCTAAAAGAATCGTATACTTGCAAATTCAAATAAAGAAAGAAAAAAGAACGGATCCAACTCAGCATATGTGACGACACTTCGACTGCTGTAACGCTGGGCTCTAACTGAAGTTAGAGCCGCTGGATAATTGTTAAGGTGTAATATGGTTAATGGATAAAATAAAGAAAGAAGAAACAAAAGAAAACAAGAAACTTTGTGAAAAAGTAAATCTTGGTATCAATAATAAGAAAACACATTATTACATCGAGGCCCGACACTACATAAAAACAAGAAAATGCAATACAAGATTGCGCTTGTGTATAGGTTCACTTAGTGCTTTAAATGTTTTTGTTTAACTTTCGTCATTTCCCGGTTCGTGTTTATTTCGTCATGTAATATTGGATGACGGGAAACATTATTAGTGGCGATTAAATACGTACGTATCAACTATTATCATGTGTTTGCTCGTGATATCCTACAAATACTTATAAATCTAGTCGACGTAGTCAACAATTCAATTGACAAATAAAAATCTTTAGTGCGTAGGTACTTAGGTGTTCTTTATAAATTACCCACCGTGTGGTCTTCGTATTTACATATTTAAACAAAATCATTTCGGATAATTTTGATAGTCTGTTTCTTACAACTATTAAGCAAGCAAAACAAATACATAAAAGGAAAAAACATACCGCTTCTAAGAAAATGTAAATACCTATTTGTAGATTTTGGAGTAACCCAAACGTTGCGGATGATAATGTAGTATTGATAAACTTTTTCAATTGATCTCTGACCTGGTACTCCGATAATAAAACAAATATGTTAAGGTAAAGTTACAAATTGTGATGATTTGTATTATTACTTTCAAATACATGACTTGCTAGCATTGTGGCTTTATTTTAGTAATTCTTAATGAATGTACGATGAAAGGTTTACATTATATTAATGTTGTTTCTCCGACTGAACTTGATGAATCTTGTGTAGACATAACGTCTGCCGGTCGTGGCCATGTCATGGCTAAGTCGTCGCTAGACGAGCCCCCAGTAGATAACGTACACAAGGTTTTAATTATTTTTACAATATCCTCAATAATTAAATTAAGAATTATCTTCCCAAATTTTGAAGTTTAAGTATAATAGCATGCTGATAGGTACGTTTGAATTATATTCTTATCAAAACAGTGTTCTAGTATCAAAATTGACGTCGACAAAGAGTTATAATGCCGTCTATCAAATAACAGTGAGGGTTTCATCGCTGCACTAGGTTCATTCGCGTTTGGATACCACTTTCCACTAAACATCAGGTGGAGTGGAGTCATTTGCCTGTCATGTATAAAAAAAACATTATGTCCCAAAAAAATGACGAATAGTAGAAATTACTAAAAATGTAAAAATTGCAAGAAATTAGTTTGATCTCTAGTATATTCGAGAACCATTTCGGTGACAGAGAGTTAGTTGGTTAGTTATCATTATTAAATTTTCTTGCAGAAAAATAATGTAGAACCTCTAGAGGATACCAATAGAATTACTTATTACTGTTTATTATAATTACATTTCTTGAGTCAGTGGTACAATAAAAGATACAGGCTATTTGGATAATAAATTTATTTGCACAATGAAAATAGCATATGAATTTTTTACTTCACTATTTTCTGTAAAATAGTGAAGTCTGTGGGGCGTTCACCCTGTACTCTCATTACATGCAATTTCGTTTCAAATTACTTTTCTCAATAAATCATTATGATCAACGAAGTTCGCAAAATTCTTTTGTTTGGTTTATAAGATTATTGATGGCTATTTTAGGAAATTAAAACTTTAGCGCAATTCATTAAAAATATTTATCTCATACCAACGGTATATACAATATTGTGTTGAAATAGTGATATGGAGGCGTTTATGAAGAATGGACCTTGTCCACGCATGGGTTCAAGTATGAGAGATGGTCCCTCGTGTATTCATAGATAACATTCTGACGAAACTTTGTCAGTTAATTACGTGTCGTGACACTGTTAGGTCAAAATATGCCTGTTTCATTGCTCCAAAGAGAGCAACAAATGAGGAAGTTGCAATAGGGCGGAAGCTGCCTCAATATTTGTGGGACCGTTTCTTGGGATATGCAAGGCCTTGTTACCTTTACTAATATTTCTTTTTAATTCGTACACGGTCATTAATTTCATTCGTCTTGACTTTTATGCATTTTGTAATCGTACTATTATTATGTATTATCGTACAATTTTTGATTGCAACTTGGTTATTTCGATGTAAGACTTTGATTTTCAGTTATCGACGTAACTCTATTTTAAAAATACTCTGAAATCCTGCTTACAATGTAAAAAGGTTACGGGTCAATAATAAAATGGAAACGTAATTACCAAGTAATGTTCGACTACATCTGTTTGGAGAAATTATAGCTAATTATTTGATTATATATTCTAGCTTTTACGATATTAATATTATATTTAAGGTACACGTGCATAGAAAAAGATGGATGGAAAGATTTTCTGTCTTAGTTTTTATACTTTAATATTTTTCACTGTTGTAGTTTCATATGATGCATATCGTTGCATATTCTCTCTCAGCTTCAGATACGATATTAATGAAAGTCTTATATTTTAACTATTATTTTTGCAACATTGTACACATTTAAATAAAATAAGTGAAGGCACCGAAGGTAAAGAACACCTCTGTTAATATGCAGTGATGCATGATTTTTATTATTCAATAGTAGTATAAAGTTAACTGTTATCTTCTCTTTCTATTAGATCTAAGTGATATTGTAAACATTTGTATGAAATAAAATTATTATTACTAAATTTGGTAAAAATGAAGGAAACAATTCTAATTAGAAAAAGATAAAAAAATCAAAACTTACTTTTTAGTTATTCTAGATTTACAACACGTCAACAGAATAACACAAAAATGGCTAGAAACGTTACTTGTGTAACAAAAGTCGTGTGCCACAGCGATGTCACCGCGCTCTACCACGACCGCCATACATCTACATGGCCGGTAACTGCATCGCTCGGTATATACGCGACCATCACCAATTCTTTCCGATAAACTGACGCAGCGAAACCTTGAGGAAATCCTATCAAATGCTCGTTTGAAAACATGCTGTAGTATTTATATAGGTAATAATGTCTTGCTACATAAAGGTGCTCGAATTTTTTTCAAACCTTGACACGCGCCTTTAAGAACATGATTTGTTTATTTATTTATTTTTTATCGACATAAGCCATAATAAACTTTACTGTCTATGGAATAAAAATCAATTTCGTGGTTACAGTTTCAGTGAATGTTTGATATGTAATTTTTGAGCAATTGAAGCACCACGTAAATATGGGTGAAGTCAGAGATATTCCTTGGATAATTTAACGGGTAAAGAACCGTCTATAATTTGCGGTGTTTCCCCAAAAAATCATCTGGTGGTTAAGTAATTTTATTTAGCACTTTAACGCATTTAATAGTACATAGTCAAGAGCACGCCAAGCTTGACACTTTGTACTTTGAACCGTTCTTATAGTAAGCAGCATATAGTTGGACTTAAATCTTAAGTGTCAAGCTTGACGTGCTCTTGACCCTGTACCCTTTTTACAAGAAATAAATGATAATAATAATAATTTTACTATATAGTTTATTGTTATCTAGAAATCACTACTTACCTCAAACATTAATTTTATAAGCAATTCAAAAAGTAAAAAAGTGAAGGGTTCTTGTTGCTTGGGTTACAAAATTTAACCAGTTTCTGTAATAAGGAAATTCGTAGTTTATTGTCTGCATCTAATGCAAAAACAGACGAGAAATTCACAGCGTTGCAGTCGGCTATGGCTGAGGTTATCGCTCAAAATACAGAAATAAAAGACGCAATTGCCTTTACTTCGAAGCAATATGACGATATGATGGTACAATTACATCAATTAGAATCTGAGCGTAAGTCTGATCGTGTCCATATTCAACAGTTGGAAGAAAAAGTAGAGAACTTGGAACGGATGCTGTATTCAACTAAGATAGAAATCAGGAATATACCCAAGAAGCCGGGCGAAAACAAGGATGATTTATGCACTATTATAACTAGAGTTGGTAATGTACTTGAAACACCGATTCAACGTCAAGACATTAAAGATGTTTTTCGAGTGAATTATAAGGACAGCAAGTCATCAGCAATAATTGTAGATCTCAGCAGCGTCATTTTAAAAGAGAACTTATTAAAAAAAGGTCGTCATTTCAACAACAAAAACAAGCAAAACAAAGTTAACTCGACTCACCTCAATATTGAAGGACCTCCGAAACCGGTTTATTTGTCTGAAAGACTGGCACCTAAAACACAAGGACTCTTCCATATCACTCGTAACTTCGCCAAAGACAATGGCTACAAGTACTGCTGGACGTCATACGGAAGAGTATTCTTACGCCAAGATGACGGAAAACAACAGTTTCTTATAAAAAGCGAGGGTGATTTGAATAATTTACTACAAGAAAAATGACTAGTATTCGTTTTTAAGTTTTATTCCTGTAACGTTTTTCTTTGGATTTTTGTATTAATACCCTTTCTAAATATTGTTAAAAAATTCTACACACATACTCACCCATACTACACAAAACAAATTTATTCACACAAAGCTCTCACTCAAATTCGCCTCACAAAAAAAACATATACCCATACCAAAATAAATTTACATTCGCACCGAAACCACATACATTCGCTACAAAGAATAATCACATTAAATAAGTTATACAATAAAAAGGTTGCATCTTGGTATATGACACTATTTATTTACACTAAAACCTACAATTTTGCAATTTATTATAAAAAAAATTACAATGATTGATACAAATCATAACAATACAGTGGAACTAGATAATATTTCTGTGGCGTCAGCCTATTATTGTGATACCACGACGTGCAACTCACTTTTGCTAAACACTGTTGATTCGTTTAATATAATCACCCAAAATATTCGAAGTATTCATAAAAACTTTAATAGCTTATTAGCACAATTGGCTACATTCACAATTAATATTGACGTTATAATTTTGACTGAATGCTGGCTGAAAGACCACAAACCTATACCCCAACTATACAATTATATTGCATTTTCTAATAGTAAGCATCTTAATCATAGTGACGGTATCGTTATATACGTTAAAAAATATATTAAGTGTTCAGTTACGGAGCCAGAATCGATAGGAGCTAGTTACCTATTATTAAAACTTGAACCAGATACTCACATTCTGGCAATTTATAGATCGCCGTCTATGCTAAACACAGACACGTTTCTAAACACGATAGACAGCATTATACGTCCTTTACACTCCAGACAAAATATTATATTAACAGGTGATATTAACATTGACATTAACCAAACAACAATGACAGACATAGTGCTGCTTACTTGGACCTATCTGCTGAACTAGGAATGTTACCGGGTCATCAATATCCTACCAGGTTGCTAAACTGTTTGGATCATGTGATGTTAAAGACGGCTTTCCCTGCAGCCGTATTTGTAATTGACTCCACGGTAACAGACCACGCTCTAGTGTTGCTAAATCTTCCTCTGACCAAATTTAATCAATGTTTAGTAAACTATGTCAAAAAAACTGATTTCAATGCGGCTGTTAGATACCTCCAATCGGTTGACTTTTCTTTTATAACGCCTACCTCTGACGCCAACGTAATCGCTTCACTTTTTGTTGAGAAACTATCGTTTGCAATAATGTCTAATACCAAGTCATACAAAGTACCTAACAGGAGGAAAATTCTGAAACCCTGGTTAACGTCTGGTCTACTTCGCTGCATTCATCATAGGGATAGGCTTCATAGAAATTTAAAAAAAGACCCAAGTAATGAAATCCTTCAAATTACTTATAGGCGATACCGTAACTTTTGCAATTTCTTGTTGCGAAAGCTAAAGAGAAACTATGAAAAGTCTTTATTACAATCGTCGAACTCAAATAAGGACACCTGGAATGCAATCAAATCGATACTTGATATTTCGAAATCGAAAACCTCTGCAAATGATTTATTACGTTCAGATAATGGTAAAAATATTCAGGACATTAATAGATATTTTTCTAATATAGGTAAGGAGCTAGCTGATTTGATAATTTCTTCAAATTGTAATAACAAAAGTGAATACAGTTTAGATATACCTCCAGTAGTAAATTCTATTGTGCTACTACCACCAGACGAAGCCGAGATTGAATCAATAATAATTAACCTTAAAAATAACTGTGCCGTTGGGTGGGACTCCATACCCGTTAAATTTTTAAAACTTTCAAAAAATATAATAGTTCCCCCTTACCAAAATTATTGAACTTTGCCTATCCCAGGGAGTTTTCCCACAGGCTTTTAAGAAGTCGCTCATTACCCCAATCCACAAGTGTGGGCCTCGAGACAGTATCTCCAATTATAGGCCGATATCGATACTCAGCTCACTTTCTAAGGTGCTTGAAAAGGCACTTAACAACTGCCTTATGAACTTTTTGGAACATAATAAGATACTATCAAAATCGCAATATGGATTTAGGACTAATATAAGCGCCGAAGATGCGGTTAGCCAACTAGTAGATTATGTAACCTCAGAAAGTGACGCTAAACAGAAATGCATAGGAATTTTTCTCGACCTAGCAAAAGCTTTCGATGCTGTCTCGATTCCCGTGCTTGTGAATAAGCTAAATCGTGCCGGTGTCCGAGGTAATGCCCTCAAAATAATGGAGGACTTCCTATGCCATCGTACTCAACAAGTTAAAATTGAAGAGATAGTAAGTGCAGAATGTCCGGTCCTATATGGAGTCCCGCAAGGAAGCATCCTCGGACCAAGTCTCTTCTTAATATATATAAATGACTTGTGTCAAATATCGTTACAAAATGGCAAAATATTTATTTATGCCGATGACACAGCCTTGGTTTTCACTGGAGCAACCTGGGAAGAGGTTTGCGATAGTGCTGAACGCGGTTTACATAAAGTAAGCTGCTGGCTGCGAGAAAACCTACTGACTTTAAATCTATCTAAATCTACTCTTGTCCAATTTACCCTGCCGAACAATAAACAGGAAAATGTTCAAATCAAACTCCACTCATGTTATTCTCCTCGCAGTTCTGACTGTTCCTGTCTTACTGTTGCCAAATCTACCAATGTAAAATATTTAGGAGTGATGCTTGACGACAGACTCAGTTGGCGTGCACACATAGACCTCACGACGTCACGCTGTAGAAAACTAATACACGTTTTCAAAAAACGGAGATATGTGGCTAATCTTGAGCTACTGCGTCCAATATACTACGCCCTTGCGCAGTCGGTGATGAGTTACTGTGTTGGAGTCTGGGGTGGTGCCTGTAAGACTCACTTATTGACTTTAGAAAGAGCACAAAGATCCATACTTAAAGTTATGACTTTTAGTCCGTACAGATTTCCTACTACATCGTTGTATGACAAATGCCAAGTATTGAATATAAGACAGTTGTACGTTTTGCAACTAGTAATCAAGCAGCACAAAAACACTCCATATTGCAAAGACAATTACCCGCACTAATGTGTGTTTTTCCATTAAATGTCGCACAGCTTGGGCAAGACGTCAGTTACTATTTATGGCTCCGTATCTGTATAATAAAATTAATAAAACTTTAAACATACATCCGTTAGCTGCTCGTGAAGCTAAACTTAAAACTAAGAACTGGCTATTAACCTTAGATTACCATAAAACTGAAGCCTTATTGTAACAACTGAGATAGAAAAATAAAGTATTTGCAGGTAATAACAATGTAATAGACTCTATACTACTAACGCGCGAATGTATATTGTCACACAAAAACGCAGGCACACACACACACCTACACCCGCGCACATGCACGTTCACACACACACACACACACACTCACACGTTGAGTGTGTACTCAGTAAAACATATAATATGTAATTTATTTGATAATGTTTCCTATTAAAATTGTTAAGAAATAGCTAATGTAAGGTCAATGTTTGAGAGAGGACACTGACTCCTGTAACACAGGTTATACCTTTTTTTTTTTGTTAATCCGGGGGAATCTGCAAAGTCAAAGTCAAAGTCAAAGATTATTTATTCCATAGGTAAAATAAATTTACACTTGAAAACGTCACATTTAAGCTACTGCTCGTTCACTACGCTGACCTCCCTGAGAAGAACGAGCAAGAAACTCTAGGGATTGCTCTTTTCAAATAAACTTAAATGCTATGGAATACACTTTGAATCAAATTTGTGTGGATTCTGGAGCCATGTCGTCTTTCCATACATCTTTATCTAACACGTAGTCTTCAACTTTGTAATATGATTTTTCGATCAAAATATTTTTAATGTAGTTTTTAAACTTAGGAAATGATAAACTTAATATATGCTCCGGAATCTTATTGTAAAAACGTATACAGTTCCCCATAAAAGAGTTGTTTACCTTGGTTAAACGAATTCGTGGTACCATGAGTTTGGACTTAGCTCTAAGGTTAATATTATGGATATCTTCTTTCTTATTGAAATTATGTATATTTTTACGGGCATATAAAATATTTGAGTAAATGTACTGTGATGCCACAGTCATGATACCAGTCTCCTTAAACTTTTCTCTGAGAGATACCCGAGAGCCTAGACGGTACACAGAACGAATCGCTCGTTTTTGCAATACAAATATGGTTTGAATATCTGCCGCTTTACCCCACATGAGAATCCCGTAGGACATTATACTATGGAAGTAACTAAAGTAAACTAGTCTAGCAGTACTAACATCGGTAAGCTCACGTATTCTGCGGACTGCGTATGCAGCGGAGCTTAATCTGCTGGCCAGGGACGATATATGTGGAAACCACTGAAGTTTACTATCTAAGGTCACTCCCAAGAAGACTGCTTTATTAACAAGGTCTAACTTTTCTCCGTTTATTTCTATGCTTGGACTAGTCGATTTTACGTTAGGTAATTCAAATTTAACACATTTTGTCTTCTTGGCATTAAGCAATAAATTATTAGCATTAAACCAATAAACTACCTTAGAGAGGGTATCATTAATACGGTCATGGTTAATGTCATGTCTGTCTGTTTTAAAAATCAAGGATGTGTCATCAGCAAACAACACTATTTCGCAATGGTCCTTAACAAAGAATGGCAGATCATTAATATAAATCAGAAATAAGAAAGGTCCAAGTATTGAGCCCTGCGGAACACCCATTTTTACTGGAGAACCCAAAGAAGTTACTCCATTTATGTCTACTTTCTGAATTCTACCGTTGAGATATGACGAGACAAGTTTCGACGCCTTGCCATTTACACCGTAATGTTCCAGCTTCCTAATAAGAGTATTATGATCAACGCAATCAAATGCCTTTGAGAGGTCACAGAAAACACCAATAGCGTTCTGGGACCTTTCCCAAGCATCAAAGATGTGTTTTAGTAACGCTACCCCCGCATCGCTAGTCGATCTACCACTAGTAAACCCGTATTGTTCACTATGAAAAATATGATTCCT